ATAGATAGATAGATAGATAGATAGATAGATAGATAGATAGATAGATAGATAGATAGATAGATAGATAGATAGATAGATAGATAGATAGATAGATAGATAGATAGATAGATAGATAGATAGATAGATAGATAGATAGATAGATAGATAGATAGATAGATAGATAGATAGATAGATAGATAGATAGATAGATAGATAGATAGATAGATAGATAGATAGATAGATAGATAGATAGATAGATAGATAGATAGATAGATAGCTAGATAGATAGATAGATAGATAGATAGATAGATAGATAGATAGATAGATAGATAGATAGATAGATAGATAGATAGATAGATAGATAGATAGATAGATAGATAGATAGATAGATAGATAGTAGATAGATAGATAGATAGATAGATAGATAGATAGATAGATAGATAGATAGATAGATAGATAGATTAGATAGATAGATAGTAGGATGGCTGATAGATAGATAGATAGATAATAGATAGATAGATAGATAGATAGATAGATAGTAGATAGATAGATAGATAGTAGATAGATAGATAGATGATAGATAGATGATAGCTAGATAGATCAATAGGATAGATAGATTTCCTCTACTTAGAACCCAAAACATATGTACATATTAATTACATATTCCATATATAATTCTAAATAATAAGGAAATAGTTTGAGACAGGCACTATAAACTGCAGGGTACCAGCAAACATGTGTAAATATGAATGTATGTATGCATGTCTGTATTTCTGTGAATATATACTATTTTAAGATGCATTTACTATGTTCTACAAGTTCTGTAGTATTATTTTCGTTGACTCTTTTTTGGTACCACAGGAAGAAGATTTCATTCCAAATTGTATAAGATCAATATCTTCGAGTGAAGTTAGTACAAACCTAAATACACATGCATTTATGTATGTATATAAGTTGTATGTATGATAACAATCCATAAGGTTTAAATATGTATGTAAAGTAAAAAATGCACTCAGTACAGATGTAAGTACTAACATTGTATGTTAAAAAAAAATTTTGAAAATATTTATTACATTTGAATACCAACAAGTATCAAGTATTAATCTAGTTGACACAATTTTGTTTAATTTTAATAACTTTTGATGTTAATTAATATTTGAATTAAAACAGTTATTATTAATCCCTGACATATCGGCTACACAATTTTAGAATAAAATTTTGGACTTTTCCATTAAATTTTAAGACTATTGAAGTTTAAGATAACGGAAGTCCGATTATTAGATCTTAAAATGGTCTGATCAACAATGTGTGAGAAAAATGAAATTCTCATATAGTAAAATTCCCAAAATCATGTTGCCTACCGTAGCATAAGTGTGACTCTGCCCAAATGTTGTCTTCATTTTCAAGAAACCTCAAAAATGTCCCCCTCTTTGATGACAACTATAAACGATTACAACTGGTTCTATAAAAGATAAGAAGGCCAAAACAACAACAAGAGAAGAGATCACTTCTACCTACATTGACCGTTGAAAACGGTTCGGGGTTTGTTTATCAGCTTGTCTAATGCCTGCTCGGGGTTTCGTGATAAAATTTAAACCATCGATATAGCCGGGAGACGATGAACAAAAGCATCTACTGTCAAGGGTATCGAACATGTTCATCGAGAAGAAGTGGATCTCAAGTGATTCTCCGTAAACATTTGCAGAATAGTCAAAATACTCCGGTGCAAGGATTAGCAGAAACAAATCTTGAAAAATCTCATAAAGTGCTCGTCAGATGTTTAGAATAAGTTTCCTTACGTAGTACGTTAAAATTGTTCAATCAGTTTTCCTAAGCTAAGTAACATCTGTAATATAGTAATATCGCTCCCAATATATTTCGATATAATTTTGACAAAATCCTGGCAATGGAAAATAGTGTTCCTGAGTTTCTCTGATCTCTCCTCATATTCTATATTCGTTCGTCCAATTTTGAATAGTTGTGCCCCTAATACTGTGTGTTCACTTAGAATACGTACCGTTATACTAATCTCTGACATGAACATTCTAAAGAAGCTTCTCGTCCTGCTCTCGATAGTGTCACCATATGGGATCTTTGGGGTTCTATCAACGCTTTAATTGTCCCAAGTGGCCGTATGAGCTTTACTTTCACATTTTCGTAATTTATATTTACTTTAGAAGTTGTTTAAATTAATAGGTTAGCTTGAAATAAAGGAAATATACTACATCAGATCCAAAGAAATAATCAAAGAACGCTTTCAAGCCTGTGTAGTGCTCTAAGAAGATATAATCGTTCGATGTTAAGAAACTCAGTTTCTTCGACGAAGTTCGTTTGAATTTTTCAATCCTCTCCTAAGATATTTGGATCAAATTTTGACGAACTCCTGACAGTGACAAAGAAAGTTTTCCGGAATTTCTTTGTCTTCTCCACATGCTCTACATTCGTCTGAATCCATTAGGACAATTTTGTGCCTCTAATCTTCTGTGTTCACTCAGAATAGAGGCGCAGGAGGCTACTCGTCCTGCTATAGTTAGGGTCACCCCATTGGATCTTTGTGCTTCTATCCACAGTTTAATTATTTCATGTGACCGTATAAGCTTTTCTCTCCCATGTTTTTACTTTAGCCCTTTTTTGCTTCGAACGTTTTTGCATTTGTCAGCATAAATTCCTCAAGTTCCATTCCCTTTATAGCAAGTTTATTCGCTCTTTCATTGCCGACTATTCCCTAGTGGACTGGTACTCATACGATGCAAAGTTTACTTCTGAAAGAGTTTTCGGTTAAGGTTCTCTTACAGTCTAAAACAGTCTTGTTTTTAACCTCTGCTGTTTCCTTGTCCAGTTCATATACATACATATGTATTTAGTTACTGCACGGACTTCTGCTTGGAATTTAGAGTTGTAATTAGGTAGACGCTAGAATATTTCAGTTTTTGGCTATTCAATGTAGATTCCCAGGCCCATCTAGTTTCCCAATTTAGAACAACTGATGCCTACGGGTATTCGTTGTAATATAACGCTTAACCATGACATTCTTTCTGGGGTCAGTGCCTCAAAGTTCCCCACAAATTCTGTATCTAATATGCGTTCGAACATGTCTTCCAATGTCTCCAGTATACATTGATGATGTGTCCTTTTACCGGTATTTTGTCAATTTGTCTATAGATAAGAGCCGATAGACTTCAAGTATCTTTTCATATCTTATGTATGTACATATGTTTCAATTGGGGGAATAACCCGCTACGTTTCAAGAGCTTTGTCAACAACATGTATCCAACGAAGTCCATCGGATTATTGCTCTCATGTTGCTTTTATAAAGCCAGTGTGTCATATTGAGACTAAGGCGCCATTTCGTGCCTACTATTCCCCTACACTACAATTGGGAACAAAATGGGCAGACTAGGAATTGTGTTTGAAAATGGACGTACTTTCATTAGGGGGTTTGGAACCTCCCAAATGAATTAAATACAAAAATTCGTTTATCTAGGAAAATATTAGAGCTAAAATCTTCAAACATTGAAAGAAAAACTTTAACATCCATATGAAATTGCCGGACTAGCAGTAGGTGGTCTCCGGTAGGTTAGTGGTTAGTGTTTTAGTCTGGTAGACCGAAGGTGGTGGGTTCGATTCCCACCTGAGGCACTGGTTAAGGAGCGCACAACAGGCCCGATAGAGGCCTAGGTGTATTTCTTCGGATTTGATATATATGCATCCTCCTTTCAAACTAACTAGCAGTAGGTGGTAGGAAATTTAGGAAATTTAATGCCAAAGTTCGTATATCTGGGAAACTATTTGGAGTCCATGTGAAAATTTGTTGAAAATTGGGCGTCTTCGTATATCTGGGGAAACTAAAGTGGAATTTTATAATGGTTTTAGGGTAGCAAAACACACTGGGTATAGCTAGTATTATATATATAGGTAGATATTACTTATGGTTATACGTAACGTATGATTAATATGATTTACCAATTCATTCAAACATTACTGTCATTAAAATGTTATAAATAGTTGTTATTTAAAGAAAACTATTATTTATATAAAGAACTTGGTAAATATATTATATTTTAAATTATATATTAAAGAAAAAAACCAAATAAATCGAAGAAAAAACCCTACAGCAATCAACAACTTTACGTAATTCTATTTAAAATTTTAGTCGTAACGACTTTTAGGCAACATTTTGAAATTAAAACGTTTCAGATGTGTACATTTAAAAGTATATATTATTTATATACATATATAGCTAAATAGACATATTACTAGACATACGATTTAACTTGATTTTAAGTGTTGAATATTTATGAGAATTAAATTTGAATATGACCCGTGAAACGAACTGTTAAAATGCATTACAATTGATTATTGCACATAACGTTCTCGAATTTATATTTATAATGTTAGATTCCAAAGTATGTATTTAATTAATTAAATGTTATTGAGTTGAAACTATGAATTAGTTAGTTTAGTATTTATTTAAAATACTTTTTTAATATAAATTTTTTTTACCATGAAAAAGAATTTTGTTACTTAAGTACGTTAAGGTTTTATTTGAAAAATCGCACAAAAGTTAAGAATATTAGGGGTATTCATGTATAAAATTATTAAGCAGAGAAATAAAAATTTTGCTTAATTTGGAAAAAATTTTCCAAATTTTTTTTTATAATCAAAAGGTATTTTTTTAATTATTTTTATATGTAAATCAGGTTTAATTTTTGCCTATAACTGTGAATACCCCTATTATTTTAATTAATATCATTGTTGTTGTTATTATTTTTACTACTACTAAGCGGTGTTCAAACCATACTGTTGTTGTGTATTTGAAGAGAATGTTATGGGTTTTTTCCTATTAAAAGTCGTCTTTTTTTCGTATAATTATTTCGAAAAAAATAAAAAATGTACAGTAAAGAGGCTAAAAGGTTAACTTCTAAATATTAATAGATTCTTTTCTTTTTTTTTATTTGTTATTTATTTATTATTCTTGTTGTTTTTATAAACGATTTTTTTTTCTTTCTGTATTATTCTAGTTGACAACGTTGTTTAAACCGCCATATCATTATTAACATTGTCATAAACATCATTATTATTATCATCATCATCATCGACGGGTCACCGTTTTAATCATCGTCAGTCAGTCAACAAGCAAATAGTATATCAACCGTTAAACAGTAAACGACTAAAATAACAATAATAAAGCAACAAAAACAACAACGCATAGAGCAGCTTCAAATGTACGATTACCAGCAGAGTCTAATAATATTATCAAGACCAGGATTTAACTTTTGAAATATTGAAATTGATAACCAATCACATCTAATCTAAACTATTGCTCAACATTGAAAACCCGTTAACCACGAGACTAAAATCACATCAATACGAATGCAAAATACACAAATTTGTGCAACGATCGATGATCGTTCATCATCGACATCTTTGAAAATGGTAAGTTTAAGTTAAGAGAAAACAAAATCTTAGTTTAAGACTAAATTCCAAAAGAACTTTTATTTCAATGAAATAACACGGGTCGACACGATTTAAAAAAAGTCAAAACCCGGAAACTAAAATTTAATTTTCAAATAACTGATCTACCATGAACCCAATATTGTCCCTATTTCTTCGTTAACTTAGGGTTTCGAGATATCTTATCATTAAGTTTGCAAAAAGCCCCGTTTTTGCCATAATCTAGACGTTATAATCGTGCGAAGTGACCTCTTCTTATTCATAAGACATTTTATTGTTATGTTGTCTGAAAGCTGAATCCATTGTCTTCTATATAAAGGTTTAACCCCTGTTATATCTTGTACCTATTTTGAGATATATATCTTAATCTTAGGATTTCTTTAGAAAAGTATACTCTAATCGCTGAGGTAAAAGTTTGTTGGGCCTTGCATATAATTCCCCAAGATCAACTGATTTTCAGTATTTTGAATAGGGAATAACTCAGTTCGAGTTCCGAGGTTTTTCTTCGGGACACTCAAATGTATATCAAAAGAAAGGTCTTTCTAGTTAGATTTTTTCAAATATTTAAAAGCTTATAATGTTCGCCTTAAAAAAATCGCTGTCTGTAAATCTTGATCGAATGCTTGGTTTTGATAGAGAATGTTTTCCAAAATTTCACTGTCCTCTTCGGTCTGGTTTATGCAATGGCAAAAGCTTGGTAATGATAGGGAATGTTTTCAAGCGTTTCATTGTCTTCTTCGATCCGGGTTATAACCTCATTCTCATGATTTTTGAAACTATTTTCGATGAAAGCTTGGTAATGATAGAGAATGTTTTCAAGCGTTTCATTGTCTTCTTAGTTCCGGGTTATAACATTGTTCTCATGATTTTGGGAACTACATATTTTCTTGGAAAGCATTTTTTGTCCTCTTTGATCTGGGCTATACATAGTTAACATGATTATTGGATATATTTTCGAATGCTTTCGAATTATAGGGAATAATTTCCAGCGTTACACTGTCCTCTTCGGTCTGGGTTATATGTTGTTCCCATGATTATTGCAACTATTTTCGACAAAAACTTGGTAATGATTTCCAACGTTTCTCTGTCCTTCTTGTCTCCTTATGTATGGCTCACCTCATAGGGTGATGCCACCACCCACCTTCTCATTATTTCAAATGTGGTGGGATTCTCCCACTCATGATTGTAACTAAATATTAATTGTTAGTCGACTGATGTAATTATGATGCAAAGTCTACCACTAGAAAAGTATTTAGTTCTGATTTCCTTACAAGAAGTCGAAGTGTTTCATGTGAACACCTGCCGTGTTCCCCAAATTCACGGCGGTATTTTTACCACCACTTTAAGTCTGCCGGTCTATGCCAAGCACTTTGCTCAAGTACTCGAGCTATTATGATGAAAAACTCCATCTTGGTGTATTGCAATCAAGGGGTGTAGAGTTGCTAACAAAACCTCTAGTCTGCCGGGACAATAAACTGATGATGATCAAATGAATCCTCGGCCTTTCCTTGGAATGATTTGACATGGGCTCTAACCAAAGTACCATATAATCTGGAACTACGGGTTGCCGGTTGCCCACAGGACCTAGTCCTGACCGGTCAATTGGCAGAGGTTCCTTCGGGATTCACGTAGCGGCTGTAGTTTATACCCAAATCCGCGGGGAGAGAATGTTGGTTTAAGGACTGATATATCCAAATGCCAAATATGTATGGATTCTCTCTACGGTGCTGTTGCCATCTCAACAGATGTCACTGGGTAATGTGACTTGTGCTGGATTCCGGAACCCGTTGAGTATCTCTTACTCTTCGCGTAGTAGGGCGTCAGTATAGGTTGGTGAATTCTCAGGATGACACTTGGTAGTTGTCTGTCATTATGTAGATCGTTCTTTATGACCTGAGAATAGAACTGATGTAATTGGTGAACGATGGGGAAAGACTGCTCTGTTGATGGGGATTGCATTTTAAATAATGGAATCTTTCATGACATCATAAGGGTGGTCACCTTCCGGTATACTGGAAGATTCATGTCAACTGATGTTGGGGTACTCTGCCCTTCTATTGACTTTAGACCAGTGATTGCTTTTTCCTTGTCGGGGTTTGCATTGGGATTGATCCCATGCTGCCTGTCATTCCGCAACGGGGCTACTATGGCAAGAGATTAGATAGCTCGTGTACTTCAGCTAAGTGCTTGTACATGGACCGGCTCAGCCATGTACAAAACTTGCCACCCGAGTTCTTCATAGAAGGAATCAGGGGCGCGTGGTAGACCGTCTCTAGTCTATCCAGTGGATGAAGAAGACCACCGTGAAATAGACAAAAAGACAAGGTCCGAAACATTGCCCTGTGGGCTACCAGTTACCTTGGGAACAGAATTTAAGACTCACAGAACAAATCATTCCAACGAAAGGCCGAGGATATATTTGAATCCACCAACTTATAATCTCGGCAGACTAGAGGTACAGATAGCATCTATCCATTGCGGACTTACATTAAACATTGTCAATTAATTGCTGTCTAGCTATCGAAAAATACTATGTGTGTATGTTAAATTCAGGTGGCGCCACAGCACGGACTTTCGACTAGAAGCTAGAGTTGTGATTAGATTAACAATAGAACATTTCCGTTTCTGAGTTTTCCAAGGTCAACAGACCCGGGTTGTCTCATTTAGATATTTGTTTTAAAATTCAAATTGCACGGTAAAATTTCCACATTTGTTCCGATTAAATGGAACATTTTAGTAAGTCCACGAGTCCTAAATTACTGGCAAAGACAACAACATTTTTCCTTTATTTCAATACTTTGTCTTGTAAAATAAACTGTGATTTATTTACGAAAATGTGTACAATCATACATACATATGTATACAATACACAAATATTTTGTAAACATGATATTTAAAAGAATGGATTCATATGTATGTGTCATATTTATAAAACACTATAGCAAATAGGGCTTAAATGAAATTATACGTATGTAAATAATTGAAGCCATACTAAAGTTTTGAGAAAGATTTTGAGATTATTTATTCCAATTTCTTAACTCCTTTAAACTTTAAAATACAACGTTTACCTTGACTTAAAACGGTTCACATATCGTCTTCGTCTGCAACATCATCATCAACAACTAAGAACGACATCATCATCTTAATTTGTTTTGTTTTTTTTTTAAGAAAATCTTTTAAACAATTCAACAGCGTTTTCATTGTTTTTGTAATACATATTTATTATTGTTTTTCTTTTGCTGGCGGTTTTTTGTATAATTCTGCTTATTGTCTATAAATATAACTGTGCTTGTGCTCGGTGTACAACCATTGAATGGTGGCCAATAGGCATACATTTTTATTATATAAATATATACATTTTCTACAATATTTTATAGCTTTACTGACTGAATGACTGCTACTACTACCAGTACCAACATCCATCACTACCACTACATTTAGATATGGGTGTATGTGTGTATATTAGGGTGATTTTTCTTTTTTTGAGTAAAACTTTTTAAATATGTATTTTAGTATGGACCTATATTTGGAAAACTAGCTTTTTGGGTACTTTTTGGTTCTGAGATCATAAAAGGGTTAATATAATCTAAAGTTTTATCACAAATCCCAAAATTAATGTATAAGATTTGAACTTGGCTCTCGATGCAAGACGAATATCTTGTCATATTTTTAGAGTCGAAGCTTACCCGGAAACGTAGTGCTTTCACAAGAAAGTGATTTTTTCTTAAACCTATGGATGTGTACAGTAGTTCACTTTTTTAGTGAAAAGAAGGTACGTTTTGTCATGAACGCTCTATAAGCTCAACACTCCGTTGTGGAGACCCTTGGCATTTGCTTAATCAATGCACTTAACTCTAATAAGGTCGAGACGACAATTTGTGGGGTTTATATGAGTTTCATGACATTCGAGAAGTTTAAATTACGTACCAACGAATGCCTCCTTGGACATAACCGTTTCGCAAAAGCTATTCTTTTGGCCGCGATATTAAACCTGACTGGTGAATAGGTGACAGCTGAAATGAGTACTACAAATTTTAAAGAATTTGACACTCTTGTATCTTGATTGCTCGGACTAAGATGTCTTGGTACCAGTCCGATATCACATTCGTTTTCTCGGAGAATACAGGATTTACAAGATGTCCCAAATCGATGAGGGATACTTTTAAGAGGTATCAGATCCTAAGGTTGCTTACCTTTGCATGGAAATGGTGGGAAAATCCTCAAGGAGTGCCCAAGGAAGTTATTATAGTTAGGAAACTCAGTTTCCTAATTTCAACGAAAGCCAAAAGACGAAAGTGTCCTATGTTCAGAAACTCAGTTTCCTAAACATCATTCCCAAGATAATTAGATCTAATTTCAACGTAAGCCTGATAACGAAAGTGTTTCACGAACGTTTTCGCACACTCTTCATCCGTTTGTCCAATATTGTATTGTTCGTGTGTCCACTCATACACTCTGAAAGGATTCTTGCCCATCTCTGGTTAGGGTCATCCTATAGGATCTTTGTTATACGCACAAAGACCGGTTCGCAATGGTCAGGTTAACATTCTCGATTTCCCTTCCCTATATATTAAGTACATTCACTCGTTCGTTAACGATTATTAACGGATGATCCAAGCTTACCTCTAAAGAGTATAGAGTTAAGTCTCTCTTACAGTTCAATACGATCTTAGATGCAACCTTATCTTTATTTAGCCCTTATAGTGATAATTAAGTCCAGTTTACACATTCCTTCAGTGTACGGATATACATATGTCTGGAAGCTGATGTTGTGATTAGGTAAACGTTAATATATTTCGGTTTCTGGGGTTTCAAAGTGGATTTCCAGCTCCTAAAAATTATCTGATCAGTTTTCCTGGGCAATGTAATATCTAGAATAACATCACTCCCAGGATATTTAGATCTAATTTCGATGAAAGCCTGACAGAGAAAGTGCTGCAGAGTTTCACTATTATCTTCGCACGTTCTTCATCCACTGTCCGCTTCTCGTTCCCCTCTGGTTAGGGCCACCCTATAGGATCTTTGTGGTTCTACCAACCGTTTTATTATTACGGTTTCGCAATCGTCAGATTAACTTTATCAGGTTCCTCGTTCGTTAACCATTATTAGCGGTTGATCAAAGTCCAATGACCTAATTCTACTCCCAGTTTGGAACCATGTATGTACATAGCTCTAAAGATCCGCTTTTCCATGATATTCGATCTTAAATCAGTGCCTCAAAGTTTCTGACAAATTCTGGCTTCAATCACTTTGTTTAAAGATAGTAGATGTTCGGTTGTACCAACAATAGGAAGAATATCATGTTACTATTCCAGAGCTTTGGTTGACTTATACCCAAGCCACTCTCTGCAGAGTTTTATATTAAACTTTTGATCCAAAGAAGTCCACCAAATGATTGCAGCAGAAATTAGAGTTGGTCTAATATAATAATATAAAAGTGACACATTTTGTTCTACATTTCCGAAATTATCCGACAAAAACCTACCCTAATTTACACATGTGCTTAGATATAGATTATTTCGATATTTAAACATTCGTATTATTTAGAATAATGGTATAAAATAGAACATTTGTACTTAGAAAAAAAAAGTACACAAATATTCTCTCTTACACACACATACACACAGACTTCATCATCTGCACGAGTCATCATAAAACTCGTAAATTTTTATTACCAAGTAGCCAGTCAGTCAGCCAATATTGTATTATAATCATAAGGTCTCAAATGGATTTTTTGCCACTGTTGTTGTTACTGTTTTATTGTTTATTCATTTACATAAAACTTGACTGAGGTTTTCATTTCTTTCTCCACTTTCCGCACATTATTGTATTTCTCTGGCGGGGGATTTACTGTGAATGAATTTAATGTTACTTGTGGGAATTGTAAATGTGTAATTATTTTTAAAAATATTTCTTATACAATATATTTTTGCTAGATATTTAAATTTATAATAATGCCATAAAATTTCATGGTAATCAGTTAATTTAAAAAAGGATAATTGAAGCAAATTTGTTTTTTCGGAACATGCTTTGTGTATATTTGGACTTAATCTAAACAAATCGAAAGTTTGTTTAATGTTCTAATAATTTTCTCAAAAATATAATTATTTTAAAGGTAGAAATTCGATCAGATCTAATATCCACCAAAACAGGGGTTTTATCTAATAAAAAATAGTTTTAAAAAGTTTAGATCTTATTTATATTCCTCTAAGCCTATATCTATCTATCTATCTATCTATCTATCTATCTTATCTATCTATCTATCTATCTATCTATCTATCTATCTATCTATCTATCTATCTATCTATCTATCTATCTATCTATCTATCTATCTATCTATCTATCTATCTATCTATCTATCTATCTATCTATCTATCTATCTATCTATCTATCTATCTATCTATCTATCTATCTATCTATCTATCTATCTATCTATCTATCTATCTATCTATCTATCTATCTATCTATCTATCTATCTATCTATCTATCTATCTATCTATCTATCTATCTATCTATCTATCTATCTATATATATATTTTAAATTTGTTTATCTCTATCATTTTAGGAAACACGAACCCCCACCAGTGTCTATCATCATCATCGGGCACCTCGCACCCCAGAAAGTTATTTCAATGTACCCGAATCCATAGCCCTGCTAAATATTGTCAAATCCGAACGAATACAAAGTGCATTTCAATCGAATCGTAAAAATCATGCCAGTGTTTGGGAAATGGTAGCCGAAGTCCTCAATCGTTATAGTGCACGCAAAAGATCGGCCAAACAGTGTTGCAATCGTTATGAAAATCTCAAAAAGATTTACACGCAATTGAAAAAGAATCCCGAACGACATGTACGACGTAATTGGCCCTATATGTTTCTCTTCAAAGAGATTGAAGAACAGAGAGGAGAATGTTGGGGTTCGAATAGCAAGCGCATGGCTTTAATAGCTAAAAATCAAAATGAATTGTCATACTATCATAGAAGGCGACAGGCAGCTGAGTTCGGAGCACTACTGGATAAACAGACACAAGCTGCTGTGGTGGCTCAACACAATTTATTGCAAAGTTTAGCCGCAGTGCATTCCAATGATTCAAATAGTAATTGTAAATTGGAGCGTTTTCTACCCAATCATTTTGTTGAGGCTCAACTGGGTAACGATACCAGTAACACAAATGGTCCCGATGGGGTCTATGATGACTCATCACCTCTCCCTCTACAAACATCGCATAAGGAGGGAATACACGAAATACCAGATGATTTATCAGATAATGCTGCTGCTGCCGCCGCCGCTGCAGCAGCTGCTGCCCATAATTTACTACAGGCCCATGTCAATGGTGTGACGGCGGTCAATACGAATGAACTTAAAGAGTCTCTAGCTCAAGAATACGAAAAAGACTGCAATGGTGCTCTTAATCTACAGACCAGTGACAATAATAATGTCTCCATGAAGTAAGTGTCTTTGAGTTAAGCGAAATGTTATTACAATTTTAATAATGCCAGTTATTCTAATTCTTCCAGATCGGAACCAATGTCGGATGGTGAATTTAATCCCGATGATATACAACTAATGCAAACAAATTATAATGGGTAAGTGTTTACACTAAAGTTTAATACCAGAAAAACTTATATATCTTCTTATAATCTAGATCACAAAACTACTACTCAAATAATATGGATCATAATATCTTACATCCCGATGTTATAGTCGACACCGATAATCTGTCCGAATGCAGTAGTGGTGATGGTTCGCCCAAACTAAAACGTAAATTATCAACCTCAACCGATGGTGATAGTACGAACTATGAATTGATCGAATATTTGAAGAGACGTGAAAAACGTGATGAGGAACTACTAAGACGTATGGATGCTCGAGAAGAGAGACTGGTTAGTTTGCTAGAAAGAACCGTGGTCGCCATAGAAGCTTTGGTGCAACACAAATGCACACACAATAACAATCCACCTACTAACGATAAAATCGAAGTTGTGGAGAAACCCATCAAAATCTGCAATGGTAATGCTACACCATCTGAGGCTAAAGCAGCAGCAACAATTTCTGCAGATCCCATTATATCAGATGATACCAGTGAAAAAGATTGACTACTTTAATAAATCAAACCAAAAAAAATCAATAATATAATACTCAATATGACTAAAAATAGAACCAAAGATTAAGAAGTTTTTACGAGATTTTTTTATACTTACTAAATACTTACGAGTATACTCGTTTTATAATTTAGAATTTTAGTTGTAATTTTACCAAAAAAAACATAAAATTTAAACAAACTGTGTGCCAAAAATTTACTTAATTATTTATAGCTTTTATTATTTTTTTAATTTGTTTAACTACTTTTACATAAGTTTTTTTTCTCAATTGTGTTGTCATAAAACGCCTATTTTGTAATGAGATTAGTTTAAGTTTTATTATGTGTAATACTCTCTATTTAAGTGCCTTAAAAGAACAACCAAAAACAAATATTTATAAACAAAAATCTGATATTCTAAAAAGATCAAATAAACTTAATATTTACCTTTTTATAAAAAAAAAACTGAATTACAATTTTATTAAAAACTAAGCAGAAAACGCTTTAAGCCTATCCTATAGTCCCCCTTTCTGCATTATAGCCTAAAGTCGAGTCGGTAGTCTATACTGTCTGTAGTCCAGACTATAGTGTACGTCTCCATTACAGTCCTTAGTTTTGTACATTCTATAATCCAGCCTAAAGTCTAGTCGGGTCTATAGTATTGTCTGTATAATCTAGTATCTAATCTGGTCTATAAAATGGAGAAGCTAATTGAAAATTTTTTGGATCTCAATCGCTTTGAACGTGCAGATATCATAGGTATATTTCAGTTATGTTACTTTCATTTAACATACATTTTAATTGATGACCAGTGTAGCAAATATGTTTTGAGAACAGCGGCGTACTTTTTTTGGGAAACTTTTGATTTTGTGTGTGAGAGAAAGAGATGTTTGATATTTCTTTCTCTTTCTTTCACACACAAAAATCAAAAGTTTCCCTGTGTGCACTGGCACTAACTCATAAATTAGTCATTTCAATTCAACCAACTCAGTCTCCTAATCTCAACCCGATTGAGAACATGTGGATGGCTGTAAAACGTAGCATAGGTAACAAAGTTTTCCGAAATGGAGATGACCTTTTTGTGGAACTGGAATTGCATAACAATACCTGCATAAGCTTATTGACTCCATGCCGAAAAGATGCTCGACAACAAAACATTTAATTTCTTATTCTTTCGTTAAATATTTCAAAAAGTTGCAAATATTTTCAATACTTAATTTTGTAACATAATTTGCTTACTAACCCAAATAAATTAGCCTATTAATTCCTAAATTAATTAACAAATTAACTAAAAAAAATTAACTGAAACTGTTTTATTTGAAACAAATATTGAAATAGAAATAGAATATAATATTAGTTCCGTATGTTTTGACCACTACTGAACATATTTAGTTTTGTTTGTTTTCGAAATTTTTCATCAAGGCTAAGTACCGGTTCACACTGAGCAACTTTCTATGTAAAATCTAAAAATTGCGCAACATAAATTCCTCAGTGTGAACCGGCTCTAAGCAAAGTATCATTTAAATATCTTTATTACCCTCTACGTTTTCGAATATTCAAATTAACTTCCGGTCTTCTTTTGATTTTAATTGCCCGGTAGCAGTAGAATGTTTTTTCCAAAAGTGCACAAATTACAAACATGCACTCACATTTGCTCGCCAGTGTATGACCTGTTCTTCTAAATGGGTACGAATAAGTTTTTTTCAGAACTAAAAACAGTAGTCAACAAAATTAAATAAAAATATTTCCTTTAAGCAAGACATCCAACACTAATTAAAGGGATCAACAAAATGCAAGTGGATTGCAACCATTACGCTTTAATCAAGAAGTAAAAACTCAATAGAATTCATTGTATAAAATGGCGGAGCGATATTTAGAATTGCACGTGTTTGTGAGCAGGGCACTCCGAAAACTAATGGAGCAGCATTTGACCTGAGGAGAAAGCTTTTAGACAATTCTTTCTATGATCGTTTGTTTTGCATTTCTGCTGACGATGTATACAAGGTGATGACAATGCATGTTATGTTAGAAAATTCAAAATTATTCATAGAGCGAATAGGCGAAAACAAATAATATTTTCAAATTAATTCAATTAGAAAAATTCATATTTTATGCTTTTAAGATTTTTTGAAAATTTATACAAACGGCTCGATTTACAGCAATATTTGTGCAGCTTAACGACTTTGCAAACGCCAATTATGAGTTCCTATTTGTTGGTGTGGGTACAAATGGTAGGCCTGGAGATGCTAGAAAGCTATACAAATAGACTTTAGAACATCCCCCATTGTATCGGTGTATAGATGGGAAACATATATAATTGAAGAAACCAAATGATAGTTGAAATTTTTACTTAATTTATAAAAATAAAAACAACTTGATTTTTTAATGGAAATTGCAAACGCCAATTATGAGTTCCTTTTTGTTGTAATGGGTACATATGGAAGGGCTGGGAATGCTGGAAAGTTGCAAAAACGAAGCTTTTTCTAAATTTGATTAAAAAAGTATGGTAATTTACGGAGCCCAACAATTTACCGAATAAAAATAATATAAAAGCTCTGTTTGTATTAGTAGGCGACAGTGCCATTCCACTTAAGGAAATTTTAATGAAGCCCTATAATTTGCAAACTTTAGACAAACAAGAAATTACTATGGTTTTGGTAAACTGTCTCCGAATAAAATTACATTCTGTTATCTTTAATTTTGTTAATGCCCAATATGTCTTCTGAAACACAACAACTATCCCTTAACTTCTAATTTTAATTCTCAATTCGAAGAAAATTTCAAAGAAAGCTATTTTCGAAATATTTTTAAAGAATATTTCAATGGTGCTGATGCCTTACCTCCAACATAAGTTGCAATTTATTCCCTTTACCATGATTCCGAATGAATTATTAAAATTTATTTGCACATTTTGTATATTGAAATGTGAAATGGTCCGAATTTCCAAACAAAATCCTTTAACATTAATTTAAATTCTGAACTCGAGATTTTAGTGCATTTAAAACAATTTACATTCATTAAGCTATGAAATTCGAATTTTGTTTACAGATACCTGAAAATAAAAAGTAATGGAAGTTCCATAGCAACAAATTTTACGACCGTTGACAATTTCCTCATTGCCTTGGAGCAATATATGGAAAACACGTCAATATACTAAAACCCACCGATAATGCTGATTACTTTCTTAAACATAAACACTTCCTTCACACAATAAACTTTTAATGATCGACGTTGGTACAAATATCTATTAATTGAAACATTTTATTGGAAATTAAAAGAAAAAAATGTAAAATATCCTTGTCCAGGACGTCATGGAGATTCATCATTTAAAAATACTGAATATAAATATAGGATTTGACGAGCTAGAGTAGTTGGTGAAAATTCGTTTGATAAATGTAACGCCACAACAAGCTATATTAATAACGACTTGGGGCAATGTAATTATAATTTTGTTAAGATTTAATTAATATTTTTACTATGTAACAATTCCACTATCGACCGAATGGGTTTCTGTGATGATACACGATTTATAATTAATTTCTTATATTTAATATAAAGTAGTTTAACGTCATATTTTTACATTTCTATTTACATAGAAAGTGCGAATTTGAATGACATTGACAGAAAACCTATAATTTAATAATAATTTTTTATAATTGTTTTTTTTTTTTTTTTTTTTTTGAAAATATTTCCTGCAATTAAATTAAAAAATTTATATTAAAAGAACAAACTTACTTAATAGCCATTTCAGAAAGTCAATATATTATACGCCTCAAGTTCATAGTAGTATTCTGCAATTGCTTGTTGTTTATTATACATACATGTTTTCAGAATTAAATCTTTTAACCATAGATTAATATTTTACATTTTTTTCAATTAATTTAGAATAAAATGTTTCAATTAATAGATATTTGTACCAAGGTCGATCATTAGAAGTTTATCATGTGAAGGAAGTGTTTACATATATTTAAGAAAGTAATCAGCATTATTGGTGGGTTTTAGTATATTGACGTGTTTTCCATCACCCAATTTACACGATGATTTTTTTTCATGTTTGCCCAGACGTCTGTTTTCATGTTTGTCGATGATTGGTGGTGAGCGGGGTAGAGAAGAATGGGGGGTAAGAAAACAAACATGATTTGGGATTTTCATGATTGTTTTTGACATTCCTCTTTAAACTCATTCGTACTGTTGATATTATGCTCATGTAAAAAAATAATTATGTCTTTTTTTACATGAAAACATTAAAATTTGCATTAAAAAAATACTATAGCGTGTAATTAAATTTTTTTAAATCAAATTAAATGGTTTTTATGTTAAAAATTTCATTTTATTTTTATTACGAATAAGTAATTAAAAAGGATTATACAATTAAACATCAAAAAAAGACATGCATAGTTGCATGTAAAAAATCACCGTATAAATGTTCATGATTTTTTGGAAGATTCTCAAAAGAGAATTGGAAAAAACAGACGTCTGAAAAGTCTTCATGTAAATTGCGCCCATATATTGCTCCAAGGCAATGAGGAAATTGCCAACTTCCATTACATTTAATTTTCAGGTATCTGTAAAAAAAATCGAATTTCATAGCTTAATATATATTGTTTTAAATGCACTAAAATCTCGAGTTCAGAATTTAAATTAGATTTGAGAGATTTTCTTTGGAAATATGGACCATCTTCCCATTTTACATTTGAACATAAAAAATGTGCAAATAAATTCTAATAATTCGTTCGGAATCATGGTAAAAGGGAATAAATTGCAAGTTACGTTGGAGGAATTGAAATATTCTTTAAAAGTATTTCAAAAAAAGCTTTCTTTGATATTTTCTTCGAATTGAGAATTTAAATTAGAAGTTTAAAGATAGTTGTTGTCTTTTAGAAGATATTCTGGGCAATTATTAAAAAAAAAAAATTAAAGATAGCAGGTTGCTAATTTTTCGGAGATAAATTGATGCAATAGTGTGAAACAGTTTACCAACACCAAAATAATTTCTTGTGGGTCTAAAGTTTGCAATTGATAGGGCTTCATTAAATTTTCCTTAAGTGTAATAGCACTGTCGCCTACTAATACAAACAGAGCTTTTATATTTGCATTCGGCAAATTGTCGGGCTCCGTAAATTACCCTATTTTTTATCTAATTTAGAAAAAAAACTTAGTTTTGGTCAACTTTACATCCCCAGACCTTCCATATGTATCCATATCAACAAACAGTAAATCGTACTTGGCATTTGCAATTTCCATTAGTAAAATCGTGCCAATGATTTTTATAAAATTAAGTAAACATTTTCCACTATCACTTGTTTTCTGTAAACATATGTATATGTTTCCCATCTATTGCACCGATACAATGGAGGATGTCTTTTGAATTTGCCGCTTTAAATTTTCCATTTAGCACTAGTCTTTGGCTAGTGTAATAATTTAAAATTATATTTGTTATATAATTATTTTGT